AAAAAAAAAAAAAAATTTCTGCAAAAATCTTTCAGCCCAGCTGAGTAGGTGGCAGATCTTCAGTTTGTTAACAAACGTGTAAAATAAAAATCATTGAACTCTTAAAAAAGCCTAAAAGGTGATTCCATACATCACATTCTCTGCAGTGCACAAAATAATACATAATAATTCAAGGGATCTGGAACCATTTTTGTGCACAGGGGGGCGAAGATGAAAGCCCAAACGTGATACCCGTAAACTCTGATCTCTCTGTTCTGTCATTCATCAGCAGCCTGACAGAACCACATGGACAATAAAATATTCTGGGCAACCTTTTGTTAAGCACTACAATATGGAGTTACATCCACAGTTACCACCTATACGTTTACTAGGCAATAAAGACGCTTAACGTCAACTGCGTCCAAAGACTGGATCAACTTTTCCAAGCTCGAGGGCGTCTTGGACCAAAACGTGTATCGTGGTTTGACAAATCAGTATTCCACATCTTATTTGGAAGACACGAAGACTGTAAGCGGTAACGAGAACAGGCGAAACTGAGAACGGACAAGAAGCTCTGCCAAAGAACAGAGGAAAGCCATGAAGCATGTGTTGTGGAGAAGGGTGGCTGCTGAGTGAAAACAGGTGTGCTGAGTACAAATGAAGGACAGGTGAGTACGGAGCTGGAAGCAGGGACAACTGAGGACGTCTACAGGCTGGGGTTTTATAAGAATCATCCATCATTCTCTAGCTTTAGCCATTTGTTTGAATGAAAACCCAGAGAAAGTTTTAGATTATTTAACTTAAAGGGAAGATTGTGAAGACCACAGTGCTCAGTACGGCTTAGGATTAAGGCTCACAGGAGGATTCAAATGTTAGCTTTGATGTAGGAATCAGGAGCTTCTGAGCTGTAATTTGCTGCGTCAGCGCYGCAGGCTGAATGTTAAGCGTGAGGTTTGGGTCTCACCAGGCCGTTGCAGTTGCTCAGGGCCACTTTGCTGGAGTGCGGCTGGTCTTGGAGGTGTCCCGTGTAGTGACAGTGGGGGGAGTACGGGTGACTCCAGGCTAACCGGCCCCTCTTCCAGTACTCTACCCTGAACTGGCGGGACAAAAGGGCGCCCTGCAGAGTCAGGTTCAGCAGGAAGTTGTTTTGAGATGTGGAGAGCTGGTAGAAGAGCTGAGAGAGACAGAGAGATGTGTAAAAAATGTGCAACACTCAACGTCATCACAAAAGATTATTCTCTTTAAAGCCGTAATACAGAGCCAGGCAGCTTGTCTTCAGTGCTTCGTCGTCTTCTTTGGTGATGAGGAGTCTTTTCTGCATCGAGCATTTCGCCATTTGGTCCTACACGTACCGGGATGGCGATCTCATAGTGACCCAGGCTGGACAGGAAAGCAGCTGTAAACAAACAAACAAACAAAAAAGCATTAAATAATAATTAATGAACCAGAAAGTTCTTATTTGTCTTTGTTTCTGTTAATGGTTTTCCTATTTGTTTGGTTATTTCCTCGTATGTATTTAGCAATCTAACTACTTGGGCATGTTTTGTTTGTTTGATGGTTGTGACGTTTGTTTTTTATAACTTTTATATTTTTTTAAAATATTTACAAAAAATACCTTCAAAAATGTACTTTTACGTTTAGCTTTTGCTACTTTTAGCATTCAGCTACCATAATGCTATTTTTAGCTTATAATTTAACATTTTTTATTTTAGCTTTTAGCTGAATGTTTGCTATGGTAGAGATAGTTAAAATTAGCAAAAGGCTAGGCAGAAGCTAAAATTTGCAAAACAGTAGCTAGAAGCTAAAAGTAGCCAGTCTACCTAAAAGCTAAAAGTAGCAAACGCTAACTAAAAGATGCAAGGTTCTCAAACGTTTTGGGTCTGGGGACCCCTTAGAAGGGTGAAAGGATTCTAGGGACCCCCTCACAAACCCCATGCTGTTAATGCAAAACAATTTACTGTTATTTCAACCCCTATGGTAATATTGTTTTTTGTTTGGATCAGTATGTTTGTTTTACTAGTGCATTATTCCCTATATGCATTTTTAAAAATAAAAAAACAAATTTACTGAAATTTTCTGAGGACCCCCAAGACACAGCTCACAGACCCCTGGGGGTCCTGGGACCCAAGTTTGAGAACCTCTGAGTTAAAGGAAGCAAACATTCAGCTTGAAGCTAAAATACAAAAAGTTAACTAAAAGCTAAAAATAGCATTATAGTAGCTGAAAGATAAAAGTATCAAAAGGCAAAATAAAAGCCAAAACTTTGAAACAGTAGCTAGAAGCTAAAAGTAGCTAAAGTCTATTTAAAATAGCATTATGGTAGAGATAGCTAAAAATAGCAAAAGGCTGGGTAAAAGCAAAACAGTAGCTAGAAGCTAAAAGTAGCAAAGTCTACCTAAAAGCTAAAAGTAGCAAATGCTAACTAAAAGATGCAACAAGTTAGTTAAAGGAAGCAAACATTCAGCTTGAAGCTAAAATAAAAGAGATTAGCTAAAAGCAAAAAATAGCATTATAGTAGCTGAAAGATAAAAGTAGCAAAAGGCGAGATAAAAGCCAAAAGTTGTAAAGCAGTAGCTAGAAGCTAAAAATAGCTAAAGTCTACCTAAAAGTTAAAAGTAGTAAATGCCAACTAAAAAGATACAAAAAGTTAGTTAAAGGAAGCTATTTTAAATAGACTTTAGCTACTTTTAGCTTCTGGCTAGACTTATGTTACTTTTAGCTTTAGCAGGTGTTTTACTGTTTATAACTTTTAACTGATATTTCTGCTCTTTTTAGAAAGTGTTTAGTTCATTTTTAATTCATCTAGCGTTCAGCTTCTTCAGCTACTTCAGCTACTTTAGCTGTCATTCAGCCTTCAGCGTGTATTTCTCCAGCTAAAAACAGAACATTGTGTCGTTGCTGTGAACCTCTGCTGAGAGACTAGACCAGATGGCAAAGAAAAACAGACTTTTGGGGTATTTGCTTTTAAAAAAAAGGCTCCACCACTCCAAGGACTCTTCATTCGTGAGGCCAAACGGAGGTTGTCATGGCTACCTTGAAATTGTATACTTCCTGTCTGTCTGGGGCCTGTTGATTTATTGAACAAACACACACACACACACACACACACACACACACACACACACACACACACACAGCTCCAAATGGTCACAGTTGGTTATCTCACAAGCAAATTCCGTCAATAAATGACTTCATTTTTTAAGTGAAGTTTCAGTTTTAGCTGATGGAGAAGCTCAAAGATCCTGGATTCAGACTCAGAAAGTCCTGCACAAACAGCGAGCCCTGCTCCAGAAGCTGCCTGGACTTTCCTGGATTACACTGCAACGATTACATACGGAGGCTGGAGCAAATATGCTTGGTATAAAAGTGGTTTCAGTCGTGAGAACAAAATAAAAACAGTGCCGTGTTCACTTTTCAAACTTGAACTGTCCTGTGTCAAAAAAAATTTAGCATTGCCTTGTTGGGGTGCCAGTGGGAGCAATGGCTTCCCCCCATTAGTGGCGCCCCTGAAACAGGGTTAAGAAATTAAAAAACGATAAGATTTAAGGAATTGTTTTGACTTATTTGTCTTCAGTTTTCTTTGTCCTCGCCACAATTTTAGATTTACTTAAAGTGCCTGTGACATGCCTATCCTTGAAATACAAAAAGTCTTCATATTTAGGAATTGGCATAAAACACATGGTTTAACACATTTTGTCACATAAATTGCATATTTTCCTTTGAATTTGGCTCAGCTAAAGTGAAACAGGAAGTGACATCAAAGGGGAAGTCTTTAAGACTTCCTGGTCTTTGTTTATTAAAACAATATCATTTGAACTCTGACTTTTCTTCATCTCTCTCTTATMGAGACTAAAATTATCTAAAGMAACATCAGAAAATTCCCTGCTGTCTGTGTTGTAGTCATTGTAGCAACGCTCTGTTTACATGCAGACATTCTCTTTTGACATCACTTCCTGTTACTTCTCATGCAAACATCTCAACAACTGTTCATCTCAGCGGTGTGAAATTGCTTTTGCAACATGTTMTCCATGTTATCTTTCCAAAAGTGCCATCACATTTATCACAAACATTTGATGTCACGGGCACTTTAAACTTCTGAACCAAACCGCCTCCAGAGACGGAATAATTAGAAGGGTTATTATAGTTAACTAAAACTAACTAAATAACGAAAATTGAAATTGAAAAAAACATTTTAGTTAAC